TTTCGTCCCCTTACACTACGTCCCATTCATTTCGTCCCTCACTCATTTTGTCCCTTTTCATTTCGTCCCAAATTCATTTTGTTCCAGTGTCATTTCGTCCCATACACTTGGTCCCAAACTCATTTTGTCCCGTTACACTTTGTCCCTACTTTTTTGATATGATTAGCTAACTTTAACGAAAGAGAAACAGAAAAAAAAAAATTCACACTCAAATCTTGTTCACCACGTAAAGCTGTTCTTCTTTGCTATTTAATCGAGGGGCTACCGGGACATATTTTTTTTGGGATTTATTTCTTCTATAGGATTTATCAGGATTTATTTATTTAATGGGGATTTATTGGGTTTTATTATCTGTATCAAGATTTTCGTGCACCCTCACTCGACTGCTGACCCCTTCGCTCTCACCCACACTTGCGTCTGCGCCCTCACCCTCACCCTCACCAGTGCCTTTGCCCTCACCCTCAAGATAGTGCGGGATTTATTTAAAAACGTGTATAGATTTATTAAAAAATCCGAAAAAAAAATCCCGGTAACTGCTAATTTAATCAAGTGTTGTTATCTATACGACCGATAGGTGATATTGAAATTTTGAAGAGTAAAAGAGAAAATCCGATTGTATATCATGGTGAGTTCGTGTACATGCAATACCGATTGACTGATGAAAAACGTATTTTTCGATGCAAAAGCTGTGACCCTCACCCTCAAGATCTGGCCCGTGTGGCTGCTAATGTGAAACTAAATTCTTCAACTGCTATTCATTCTTCATTTTAGTTAATATATTAAACGTAGAAGATCATAGTACATAACATTGTATATTAAGTAGAATCGTCAGAAACGACTTGTCCGGTAGGACAAAGTGTAACTGGACAAAATGAGGTTGGGACCAAGTGTATGGGACGAAATGACACTAGGATAAACTGAATTTGGGACGAAATGAAAAGGGACAAAATGAGTGAGGGACGAAATGAATGGGACGTAGTGTAAGGGGACGAAAAGTAATGGGACGAAATGAGTGTCCACCTCAAAATCAATGTATCTTATTATTTTCCTTCATTATTTCGTTTTATTGATTCGTCCAAACGATCTTCCAGCTCCTCTCCGATTTCATTGTCTTCAAGATGTAGTGTGGTGAGTGTCTGTGAAAAAGTACAGATGGATATATGAGAGAGATGAAGAGAGAATGATGGTTACGGTGTTCTGTCGTAATGCATCAGCCAGATGATGTCCTCCTACAGCACCGATTTGATTGTCTTCGAGATCTAGTGTGGTGAGTGTCTGTGAAAAACTACAGATGGATATATGAGAGAGATAAAGAGAGAATGAGGGTCACGGTGTTCTGTCGT